CCCAGATCTATGAAAATGGAGGAAAGGATAGCTTGGCTAGTGTTCTTGAGAAGGGATATGACAAAGCTAGTTATGCAAGTGTTGAAAAAACTACAAGCTGAAACCAATTCCTGCTATCAGAAGGAATTGTCACTGCCAGAGTAAAGAAGCAATGCTGTGGTAATGCTCAAAGGCACAAGAAATAGATAAAAAGCCCCACAGGAAATGAAACAGGCAGGGAAAAAAATCACTTTTCCCTCCTCAAATCTTCCAATTCTGTCTATCATCTCCTTTTAGCAGAATTTAGTAAACCAGTTGGCAATGCATAAATGTGGATTGTGGAGTCCCCACACAGCCCCAGTCTCCCAGTAAAGATAAGCACATGAATGTTCATATCTGCATTATTCATTAGAGCCCCAAAGTGGAAACAACCCCAATGCACATAAATCAATAAATTAGTAAACAAAACATAGTATATTCATACAAAGAAATATTATTTAAAATAAAAAGAAATGAAATACTGAGTATTGATTCAACATACATGAACTGAAAACATCATGCTAAGTGAAATAAGCCAGTCACAAAAGATTCCATATTGTAGGATTCTACATATATGAAATGTCCAGAATAGGTTAATGAATAGAAATGGAAAGTGGTTACCTAGAGCTGAGAGGGGAGGGGAATGGGTAATAACATCCATTATAATTGCTAAGCTATGAAATAAGAATTATTTATATCTGATCAGCTATACAAAACTCATCAATTTTTTTTTTTTGAAAAATGGTAATAGATATCCCAAGGAATAAAGAAGAAACTACTGATTGAAGGTCATGTTTACTAATCTAGCACTGTAATTCCAGTCTTAGAACCTCTAAAGCAGCTAAAAGCAGGAAAAGAAGAGGTGAGGATATTGGAAAAGTAAGGGTAATTCTTAACTGGTGGCCCCATTTATGCTCTAAGGCAATGAAGGGTCTAGCAAAGAAGAAAATTTCTGAGGCTGGAGATAAAAACAAAAGATTTTGTTCAGGTGATAAAGGAGGCCCTCAAGAGCAGTAGGATCAGTATGTCCAGAAGGCAGTGCTGGAGTCAGCCTCATGAACTAGGGATATCGTCTTGGCATCCAAGTCCTGTTTAATTTCTTCAAGTGTTTAGTGAGGTTTGGTATGTCATCATTCTGAGCTGGATACACTCCAACCACATTGCCAAATGTACATCTAAGTAAGAACTGGAGCATTATGTCATAAAGGAATTGAATTTGACTATGTTCTTAACTTTACAGTGAATTTTATACTTTCATATGTTTTCATGTTGTTAATTAACATTGTTTTGTTTCAGCTTGAAGAACTTCTTTCAGTGTTTCTTGTAAGACAGGTCTAGCGGTCATGAATTCTCTTAGCTTTTGTTTGTTAGGGAAAGTCTTTGTCTGTCCTTCATTTCTGAAGGACAGTTTTGCTGAGTAAAGTATTCTTAGTTGGCAGTATTTTTCTTTCAACATTTTGAATATATTATCCTACATTCTCCTAGCCTGCAGCTTTCTGCTGAGAAATCCACTGATAGTCTTATGGGGTGCCCTTGTATGTGAGGGTCACACTTCTATTGTTTCTTTTAAAGTTCTCTACCTGTCATTGACTTTTGACAATTTGATCATACTGTGCCTTGGTGAAGATCTTTTCATGTTCTGTTTGGTGTTTTTGGGCATCATGGATTTGGATGTTCATTTCTGTCCCCAGATTTGGAAGTTTTGTGTCATTATTTCTTTAACTAAGCTTTCTGCTCCTTTCTCTTTCACTGCTCCTTCTAGGACTGTGCCTTTTTTGTATGCACAGTCTTTTAGACAACCAGAGATGACTATGATGTTAGCTGGGCTCTCTTTTACTGTCTCTTTCTCTGATCTTCCTTCATATCTTCTGGGATGGTCTGCCTTTATTGGTATCATGTACAGCTGTTAACATCCACTCTCTGATTTCTATATTGTTTTTGACAATATACTGCTGCATTTAAAAATATTCTATAGTATTAATATTTATGGTGCTGCAGGGACCCTGTAGTTAACCTTCTCACTCATATTTAATAAAAATCCTACAATCACTGTTAGTTGCAAGAATAGTATCATGTTAGTAATTAATATATTAAACTCAATGTAATAATCAAAAACATTGAATGTTATGCAAAGTTAAGCTTATCTCCTCAACCAACCTGGGCTTATTCCAGAATTGAAGTCATCAGAGGGTGCAGGGCTCATTGTCACATTTTTTATATTTACCAATCTCACACTTCTATGCCATTTCTCACACTTTCTAGGTTGCCTTTGATTCCGTTAGAGTTGAAGCTAATAGACAGTTAATGTGAAGGGTGAGAATAGTCATATTTAAACAGCAGAGTGACTTTCTTTGGCATGTTTCCTCTGGCCATATCAGATATTTAAAGCAAACTGTTTCCTTTCGACACATTCCTGAGCCCACTGGGGATGCTTCAACACTGAAAACCTCTTCAGTAACCTCTTTGAAATATTGAACGTGTGTCTCTTGAGTTTGTAATAAGATAAGATTATCCACCACTATCACCACTTCTATTCATGTTGGACTACAGTTCCTAGCCAGCCCAAAAACAAGGAAAATAAATAAAAGTTTTAAAAATTAGAAAGTAAGAAATGAAACTCTTTATTCACAAATAACAATGTGAAATAGAAATTTGGAAGAATCTCTAAAGATTTATTAGAATTTACAAGTAACAATGGAAGGTCACTGAATATAAGGTCAATACACAAAAATCAATTGTATCTCTAAAATCTGATCACAAAAACTAGATAATTAAATTCAAAAATTGCAATGTATAATAACATCAAATACATAGAAATAAATCTAATAAAAGCTGTTCAAAGCCACTACTCTCAAAATTATATATCATTTCAGACAAAATTTTTAAAGACCTAAAAAAATGTAGGAAGTACCCTGTTTATGATTTAAAACACACAATCTTTTAAAGAATACAATTCTCCATTATTTGATCTATGGATTCAATGTACTTCAGTCAACATCTTAGTAGGTATTTTTAAAAAATTAAAGCGTTATTCTAAAACTTAAGTGGATAAGCAAAAGACCTAGAGTAGACCAGGAAATGTAAAGGAACAGAGTTAGAAAACTTACACTACTCAATATAAAAAACTACTACATAGCTACAGTAATTAAGAGAGCTTGATAGAATAAGCATGACTACATAGATCAATTGAACAGATAAGAGATTCCCACACATATACAGTTATCAGTTTATTACATAGGCACCAACTGCAGTTCTTTGAGGGAAAAATTGGTTTCCAATTAATGAGGCTAGTTAATTGGATATCAGTTAGTGAAATGAACAATGACATTTACTTTAAACCGTCAATAAAACTATTTTCCAGTGGATTATAGTACTAAATATGAAAGGTGAAACAGTAAAGTTTTTAGGAAAACATGGTATTATTTTTAAATCAGTTCTAAGATTTTAAAAATCTCTGTTTTCATTTTTCTTTAGTTTTAGGATGATATTACTATATGTGTATTCATTTTACCTATACTAACCAATTTTTGTTGTGCTTCTCAAACCTAGGAAAAAAAACCCTTAATAGTTATTTCTCTGGGGGATGGCCTGGTTGCGCAGTGGTTAAGTGCGCATGCTCCGCTGCGGCCGCCCGGGGTTCGCAGGTTCGGATCCCGGGCGCACACCGATGCACCGCTTGTTAAGCCATGCTGTGGCGGTGTCCCATATAAAGTAGAGGAAGATGGGCACAGATGTTAGCCCAGGGCCAACCTTCCTCAGCAAAAAAGAGGAAGATTGGCATCGGATGTTAGCTCAGGTCTAGTCCTCCTCACAAAAAAAAAAAAGTTCTTTCTCTGAATATTGCCTGTAACACATTCCTTCAATGCATGGACAATAAATCTTTCTGGAACTATTATTAGACAAATATTAAACCCCTCTTTTCTATCTTTCGTGATTCCTAATCTCTTTTTCATATTTTTTAAAAAATTATTTCTTTTTTCTCATTCTGTGGGAAATTCTTGGACCTATCTGTCAGTTCATTAATTATGTCTTTTCTTGTGTTTTGTCTGCTGCTTATACCATCCAGTTAGTTTTAAGTTTCAGTCACTATATATTATATTTACATAAGATTTTTTGCTTATTTTTCAAGTCTGACTTTTTAAACATATTATTTTGTGTTTGCATTTCTTCTTTTATTCATTTTTTTTTTGAGGAAGATTGGCCTTGTACTACCATCTGTTGCCAATCTTCCTCTTTTTTTTCTTCTTTTTCTCCCCAAAGACCCAGTACATAGTTGTGTGTCATAGTTATAGCTCTTCTATATGGGATTCCACCTCAGCATGGCTTGATGAGCAGTGAGTAGGTCCGGACCCAGGATCTGAACTGGCAAACCCCAGGTTGCCGAAGTGGAACGTGTGAACTTAACCACTAGGCCTCCCTGTTTTATTCATTTTCTGAGTCACTATAAGATTGTTGTATTGTTTAAACATCCCACTCACATGAGTGGCAAAGATGCAACACAAATGATATAAGGATACTTTCTCACAGTAACCATTGTGTATTACCAGTTGAAGCCCTGAGAGATTAATAGAACATTAATAGACCCCTAAAGAGCCAGAGAACCTTGAGAGCCAGGTGGTTATCCTAAATGCTTGCATACTATGTAATATCCCACACTTGATAGTAACTCAGGAAAAAATGAAAAGTTTTCTTTCACCTTGATAGAAATGAGCCTGGAAGGAAAATTAAGTTGGAGTCTTTAGAATTAAATAAATTTACATTTTTGCTATATTTGGCATTGTGGAGTGAAATTTAAATCTAATGTATTTAAAAGAGTGATTTTTATGTAACTTTATGCCAATGTTTTCATTGCTCAGAGACAGTTCATTCATATGACTTTCCCTATAACAAGTTCTTTTTGAGCTTTATTTTCCTGATTGGTTCTGTAACATTTTTCCAACATATTTTGATTTGTCTCCCAATGAGGAATGAATAGATGTGACTCAGCAAAAGAGGTAGGCTTTTCTTCTTTTAAACACCTTTCTTAGAGCTGCCTTCATGGCTTTGTTTCTCAGGCTATAGATCATTGGATTGAGTGTTGGAGGCAGAACAGTATAAAAAACAGTGAGCAAAAAGTCTAATACAGTTGGAGAGTCAGAATGTGGCTTTAGAAAATCAAAGACACCCGTAGAGATAAACAATAGGACAACAGATAGGTGGGGCAGGCAAGTGGAAAAGGCCTTGGCTCTGCCTTCAGCAGATGGGATCAGCAGCACGGTAGAGAATATGTGCGTGTAGGAGAGTTCAATGCAGATGAAGCAAAGAAATGCCACCAAGGACAGGAAGCCAGTGACCCCAAGCTCACTGACATACTTGTTAGAGCAAGCAAGTTTCAGGAGCTGAGGCACATCACAGAAGAACTGGTGAAAGATATTGGCACCACAGATGTGGATGGAGAAAGTAGCGGCTGTGTGCATGATTCAGAGATAACCCCACTGATCCAGACAGCTAAGATTCCGTGAATACAGGTGCTGATATTCATGATGATTTCATAGCGCAGTGGAAGGCAGATGGCCACATAGCGGTCATAAGACATCACTGTGAGCATGGCCATCTCAGCACAACCACAGAGAGTGAAAGCAAAACACTGTAATATGCATTCCCAGAGGGAAATATTGCCACTATGCATGAAAGAGTTGCAAATGGACCTTGGTACGGTCACAGAAACATAACATAGATCCAAGAAGGAGAGATGTTTCAGGAAAAAATACATAGGTGAGTGAAGACTATCATCCACAGAAGTGGCAATGATAATGACAATATTTCCAGTTACAGCCACTAAGTATAAGACTAAGAAGAGAGAAGCACATAAGATTTCCAGCTCAGGCTCAGCAGAAAACCCCATGAGAAGAAATGCATTCACTGTAGTAAAATTAGCCATAAACCTTTTCAGTTTCCAAGAGGGATGCTAACTGCAAGACAAGATGGAAACTCATAGAAATAAATTTTTTTTTGTTATTTAACAATCTTATCCACTTATTCAGTGAAGTTAAGGCATGAAGACAGGATCACCAGTTTATCATTGTAAATGTGATGTAGCTTTATGTACTAATAACTATGTTGAGCAATTTTAAATAACTTTGACTCAGTCATAAGGAAGACTAGGTAAAGTAGATTATAAATTTTTATGTTATCCATTTCAATCCAAGGAAAGGAAAATATATTATTTTATTAATTGAAAATATAACACATTAAAATTTTATATGCTTTAAAAGTTTCACTGAGTTCACACACACACACACATATTTATAAGGAAGTTTTGGAGGTACCTATTCTTTTCCATTAGTTACTATATCTATTTGTACCACCACCACACTGGTTGTTGTACTGCAATTTTATAATTTTGTTTCATATATGAGAGAACAAATTCCCAATTTTTTTCTAAGAATTCCTTGGAAAAATAAATAACAGTAAAACCACGCTTTTTATTGATAGTATCTTGTTTGTATTATGATATACAAATAATCATTACCCTTAACATAAAATAGCATATAAATTGATCTGAAAAATACTAAAGCCCAGACCTTTCCTGATATGTTTTTAAAAAGGGAATAAAATGGCTACTAAACATGTAAAATTATTTAACTTTATTCTCAATTAAATACGAATTAGAGCAACAATGAGATATAATTTTTGTACCAACCACGTTAGCAGTGATTAAAAAATACAATACTCAGAGCTATTGAGTATGAAATAAGAGAAAATCTTAAACATGCAGCTAGGATGGTCAAATTTGTGCATAGTATTTGAAAAGCAACTTATTCAACAAGAAACTTTAAATAGTCTGTACTTTAAATCATTAATTTTATGTTAAATATTTTAATTAAATCTTCTGAATAATGGATATTTAAGAAATATGTTTATTTAGAATTATTACAGTAGCAAAAACATTGACAAATCTTATGTTCAAACTGAAGACTATTGAATTATTTACATAATTGTATTGTAGATGGCTTTGAAAATTATAGTTATGAAGTATTTTTCATGAAATGAGATAATGATCACTATTTTAGTTTGAGGAAAAGTATGATATATACACTGCATGTAAATACATAGGAAGAAGCATAGAATAAAGAATCTCAAGAATGTAAGGAAATATAACACATGACAAGAGTATTTCTAGATGCCTTGATGTTTTATTATCTTGACTCCTAGAGACATATGGGAAACTGGCCGCCATTTTTGTTCCTCCACACAAAGTTCAGAGATGTTGCTGGAATAGATTACATAGCTAAGGGTGATGGATACTTCTGTGTTCCCTAACACACTATTCAATAATATAAATTTTTTAAGAGGAAAATTCTGAGATTGATGGAGGACACCAGGCCCTGAAGAGATTATACCCAGCATACATCTAATCTAGTGTATGTGAAAACTTATTCAGCCTTATAGTGTGTGTGTGTGTGTGTGTGTGTGTGCATGCCTTAATCACAGACATTGAAGATGATACTTTATGCTTCTAGAGATTCTAATGATACATTTACTCAGCTAGACATATTCTCTTGCAACTGTAACTCACTGGGTGAGGCTTTTGGGGACTATGGAAGCTTCCATTTCTATGTTTCCTGGAAAATGTTGCTGATTTTTCTGTCATGTAACCCAACAGAGTGGACTTCATTCCATGTATACAGAAATACTCTTGATTTACCTCACAATGTCTGTATTAGTCTTTCCATTAATTCATAGCACTATTGACATTACTTAATACAGTAGTCATGTAGTGGAATTGTGTGGAGGTTTTATTTTCTTTGTTATATCTTTCTGTATGTTTCTATTTTCTCTCTTGAATAAATACATATTTATCATTTATCTATCTGAAAATAATTTTGTTATGTGATATAAATATCTATTTGATTTCTATTTAATCCACTGATTGCCACATTGATCTTGGACACTTGGTTAGAAGCAGAAAAATAAAAGAAGGTAATACGAATGTGTCATTGGTTGGTAAATAGATACAATACCAAAATATTTCTCTTTCTTTATAAGATATCAGTGTATTCAAAGGGTAAAGATTATAATATCTAATCTCATTTTCTTCACTAAGAAGAAAAAAAGGGCCACTTTTCTTCTTTAAAGAAATTGCAAATCTCCTGTAGCTTTCTACTTTGAATTTTGAGCCAGAATTTTATATTACTTTTGCCTCTTTAATCTCACTGAGTATTTTTTCTCTACAACTTATTCATTGTCTTTTAACAAAGGGGACATTCAAATTCCCATGCCTCTATCTTTTATTTAAGTAGATATTAGTGTTTTTGAAATATGACAAGAAATCTCATATGAAGAATTTAATGATTTTTTTACCATTTACTTTTGGTTATAAAATATTTTTTCTATTTCCTCAAAATATGGACCATAAGCTTTATTATCACTGAATTTTCTTGTATTTTCTTTACATCAGGATTTCTCCCTAAGAAATAAAAGAGACCAGAAACCTGAATGACTGATTGTGACAGGAAGCATGTTCTTATGTGCTTCAAATAATCTTCATGTCCTTATCATCTTTTTCTATGGGGTCTTTATTGATCCTTATTTTGTGAAAATGGTAAATACGGTTATTTTGTTGACATAATATTTTGATACATCCTCAGTTTTTTTCATTTTTCTACACTGTTTGAAGAATTTATCTGTGATCTCTGGTATGGGAAGGATCTCACATCTCTTATAAGCTACTCTTAGAGTCAGTGAATAAGAAGCATAGAAGGAATATTGAATGGTGTCATCCCATGCTCCCTTTACCCCGGACTTCTTTGATAGTTGCACAAAGGAAGGAATTGATGAGGAGATGGGAATTACACTATACAAAATGTTTCTGAAACATAGTTTAAAACTCTGTCTCCTGGATTCCTAATTTTTATTTTAAAAAAATCCACAGTTGATAACCTTTTAATTTCAGCCTTTATGAGTTAAATGACAATGACTGTTTTTATCCCACTCACTTAAATCCTATAATTCATTCATTAGCTTTCCATTATTCACTATAATCTCCCTTTGGAGAGACCAAGGAAACTTACCAGAGCATATCCAGGGACTTCCTCTCTAAACTTGTGGAAAAGCTGTCTGTGTGAACAGTTACCACTTAGCAGAAGGTCCAGACCTTTGTAATTTAGCCGCTTTCAGTAAAATATGGTCTGTGGAGAGGAAAAGTAAGACCATTTCTATTCTTCTCTGTCCATTGGAGGTTAGGCTATATAGCTCCTCTGGCATGAGCAGCATCCTTGGATGTTCTGGGTATTTGGGGCTCCTTGAAAATACCCTGGGAGCAAAACTTGCAATTATATGGAGTTTTCCTGTGGAGTATTTTTCTGTTGATTTGAGTTAATGATCATATCTAGTTATTTGGAATTTCTTTTTAGCTTCATTGGATTAAATTATTGAAACACCTTGTAATTTGTGGCTTAGATTCAGGAAAACTCAACACTAAGCCTTAACTCCATTTTTCAGTTTGTTTGTTTCAAAGTAAATGCATATTTAGGGGAATCATATTCCCTTTGTGTATCACTGCAAAGCAAAAGTAACTTAGATTGTATGATTCTCATCCTTACAATTTAGATATTACTATAATCTCAGAGAAGAAATTTTAGAGAACAGCTTGGTCCACATCCCATCAAAATTGTAAGTTTATTTTCCATTTCTATGTAACGTGATCCATCTGCTCCTTGAACATTCTGGTTATAGGACTTCAATATATCTTTAGGACACCACATTCTGGGATTTAACAAATGAAAACACTTTAGAGTTTTTCCTCATGTTAAGCCAAGTCTTCTTCCACTTTATTATTTCTGATCTTAATCTCTGAAAGGGGAGATATACTCCTTATTGTTTTATTATTTAATCAGAAAGGAATACTCTCTAAATGCTGGAAGACAGAGGCATGTATGAAGTGAAGGACTTGTATAAACCTTTGTATGCTATTCTTAGTTGATAATAATGAAATGCCTTGACAATTAGTTGGAAGATAGAGTTGAAATGATAGCTTACACTGAAACATTTTACTTTCTATTTCTTTTATGTTTTTTTAAATGATTTGAAAAGCACACATTTGTGAAATGTTGGCCACTGGTAGGGATATAATTTGTGATAGTAGAATGTATGGATGTTAATTGTTTTAACTTGGGCTTGATTTTGGTGCTGTAACAGTTTATTTTTATAATAATTAAAAGTTGGATAGCTCAAACCAATGACCACACACTTGGATTTAAAAAAATATGTTTGCTCTATGTTACTTCCCTTCTGAAGGTAATATTAGATTTGAATTTAGTGGTATATATATAAGATTAGGAGCTATTTCTTTACTTCATTGGGTAATAATCTATTGATGTTTATCCTCTTCTCTGCTATTTTAATAATTTCTGTTGGAATGTTATTTCCTTGAAACCATGACTCAAATCTAGTTCATATTTGTGTTACAAACACCATCTGGCACTGTGCCTCACATGTAGTAGACCCTCTTAATTATCTGTGGAAATGAATTTAATTAAGCTAGAACATATTTTTTCCTCTAAAGACAGACATACAGGGAAATTTTTTTCTCTCCTAAGAATTTACTAATTTTTTATATTACTTAATCAAATAATCTCATCAGGAATTTGGAACTATTAGATGGTATGTCCAGGATGGAACACTTAGAGGGCATATTCTGATTGTCTATTGCTGATAGCAAACTATCTGAAAACTTAGTGAATTAAAACAACAATTTCTTATTCTCTCTCAAGTGTGTGTGGATGTTTCTTCCTAGAAACATTGAGCTAGAAAAATTGAGCAGACTTTATTTTTTAGAGCACTAAGTTTCCTCCATGTCTTCATGTGGCTTAAGAGCTATATTTTTTAAATTGGTGAATAATATTCCATTGTCTGGATGTACCAGTTTATCCATTCACC